GAGCTCTGCTTCCTTGTGTCTGGGGAGGCTTTGTCTCTGCTGGGTGTGGCCAGGACTAAGATGGGCCCAGTGGGGTCTGCTGGCTTCCTGGGGGCTGAGCTGGGGGTCCCAAACAGCCCCTGCCTGTGGGGACTGCGTGAGGGCAGGGCAGAAGGCTGCCTACAGGCAGCAGGTGCTGTTTAGGGGTGGCTTTGGAAGGAAGCCTGGCAGGCACTGCTCCGAGCTGTGACCAAGGTGAGCACAGAGGGCTCGCAGCCCCGTCCCTAGGGTTCTGGTGGGATCTGCCCCTCAGGGCTGACCTGTGGGCTCCTCCAGCAGGTACCTGTGACCTGTTTTCCATCCAGGTGGATGTTGTCTTGTCTGGGGGGTTGTGGTGGCTGGTTTTTTTTCCCCAGCCGGTGTGGCTTGTGCTGGTCCCTGTGGACCCGAGATGTCCCAGAGCTGGCCTGTCGCACAGAGCTCATAGGGGAAACTGAGCACGGCTGAGCTGTGTCAGACCAGAGATCCCCCATCCCCAGTAGTGCCTAGATCTCTCCTGGATTTGTCTCTGACGTCCTGTCTTGTCCTCTCCTGCTCCAGGTGACCAGGGAGGCTTTTGCATGATGTGCATTATGCAGAACCACACGATCCAGGCTTTTGCCAACAGTGGGAACGCAATAAAGCCAGTACCCTTCATCCGAGACCTTAAAAGTAAGGATGCTGCCCTCCCCTGCCGTAGCCGTGCAGGAGAGCAGTGACTAATGCGGGAGCAGAACCTTTGAGATCGGGGCAGGTCTTGGCAGGCGGCTCTTCTGAGATGACTCACTGAGCCTGCGGGGGGCTGGTGACTTCATGGGCTGCGTGGGGCTTCCTCCGTGGCCGGCACGAGTCCAACGTCTGGTTTGGGTTGAGGGGGCTCAGACCCCGGAGTCCCTGCCCCGAGGGAGGGAGGGAAGGCCTGCATCGTGCAGCACATGCTGGAGCTGTTTTTTCCTCCTCCTGCAGAGATCGCCCGGCACATCCGCTTCGGGAATCAGGAGGACGCGCACGAGTTCCTGCGTTACACCATCGACGCCATGCAGAGGGCCTGCCTCAACGGCTGCACCAAGTATGTGGGGCCTCTGGTAGCCTGTCGCCGCTCTCCTCTGCGGTCCCCTTACTGGTCCCCTGCGCCTGTGGGAGGGGACTGTGGGGTCAACGTGTCCCCCAGGTTGGACTCATGGAGGGAGGTACTGACTTGGGGGTCTTGGGTGGACGGCCTGACTCCCTGCCGCTCTGTGGCACAGCTCTGGGCTGTTGTCTGCCTTCTCCTGGCTCCTCTGCCCCAGTGTAGCTGTGGTCCTGTCCCCGAATCCCAAGGCTGCTATGCGTTTGGATCCTGTTGCTGAGGAATAGACGTGCCGGCTAGTTCAGCCCCAGCGCTGTGGCTGGGGCTGAGCCGCTTTCCCATGGGCCCTCCGTCCCGGGAGGCCTGTGTTGCCTCTGTCTGCTGTGCCCAGCTCTGGGCTCCAGCCAGGACTCTGCTCCTTCTTGAGGAAGGTGTGCATGGGAGCCTGCTGCCACCCCTCGAGCTGCAGCACTGGCAGAGCAGGCTGGCAGAGGCTGCAGCTACCTCTGCCCTTGGAGCTCTGCGGCCCGTCCACTGGCCAGAGCACACAGGGGAGCTGTCCCGAGGACACGGGGGTGGCCGTGGCGGAGGGGCAGTGTGAGAGCTGGTGCTATTGTCCCCAGGTTGGATCGCCAGACCCAGGCCACGACGCTGGTTCACCAGATCTTTGGCGGTTACTTGCGGTCGCGTGGTGAGTGCTGGCTGCCCGGTCCTGGGCCTGTGACTCTCAGGGCTGCTGTTGCCCCGAGAACATTGCAGTAAAAACCCTTTGGGAAAGTTGCTGAGCAGGTGTAAACTGTGCAGAGCTGCAGCTGGTCAGCCTGGTGGGACCTGTGGGCCTTGCCCCCCATTGTGGTGATGGAAAAAGCTGGTGGCCCTGGGTCCCCAGCCCGTTGCCACCAGCACAGGAACCCCTGTTGCCAGCTGTTGGGCAACACATGCTGTCCCAGCACACTGTGGAGTTGCCAGGCTGTGGGTCCTGGTGCTCACCTCCCAGTGCCCAAACCCAGAGAGGGGGGACACTGCAGGTGCTGGTGCTGTGCCGGGGTGGTGGCGGGTGCAGGTGCTGTGCCAGGCTGGGCTCATTGCTCGTTCTTTTGCAGTGAAGTGCTCGGTGTGCAAGAGTGTCTCGGACACGTACGACCCTTACCTGGACCTGGCGCTGGAGATCGGGGTACGGGGGCAGGGTGGGGGATGGGGAGGAGCTCTGCGCTCGGGGGGACGTTCCTGCAGCTGCGCCGTTGCTGCTCTCAAGGCTCCGTAACCGGCCAGTGTCAAGACACAGTGCAGACGAGAGGGAAGCAGCTTCTGTTGTGGCACTGCCTTCTCTCTCTGGCAGAGCAGTGCCTGTTGCCTGAGCATGAGCCATGACTCCTCTGTTGAGGCTCTGTGGTGTGGGGGGCAGTGCCGCCGTCCCCCGGGGCGTGCTGGCCGGTGCCCAGCTGGTGGCAGGCACATGGGTGTGGTGCGGTCTGTGGCCCTGTGCTCCTGGACAGGCCACCCGTGCCCTGAGCTCTCCTCTGTCCTCGCAGCAAGTCGCAAACATCGTGCGGGCGCTGGAGCTGTTCGTGAGGCCAGACGTGCTGGGCGGGGAGAACGCCTACATGTGTGCCAAGTGAGTGTGGGTGTGCTGGTGGGAAGGGGGTGGAAAGCCTGCCCCAGGACGGGAGGGCTTCTCTACTTGCTCCGCGGCTAAACTGTGAGGCATGTGGCCGTGGAAGCCTGTGGTGAAGGCTGCCGCTCCTC